AGTCGGTCGTGTGACGATCACGTGAGCGAGTCGCGCTTTCATCAATCGTGCGGACGCGAGGATACGGACGGGAGGAAGAAGACGTGACAGATGATTGATTGCGTATCGATCGAGCGCGAGCGCCGATTTATCATCTCTGCTCCCGAGCGCACCGGCGTGTCGTCATAGCGCCGCGCGCGTCGCCAACCGCGCCGGAGACGTCGCCTTAAAACCCCAATTTGAGACGCTGCTTCGAAACCTCCGCTCGGTTTCAAACCCTCAACGTGGCTCGAGGGAGGAAATCCAAAGTGTTGTTTGAAAGCCGAATCCTCCTCGTCCCTCGTTCCGCGTCAAGCTTTGCTTTGCGTCGCTCTCGGCGGGGTTCGCCGCGGCGTTTGCGTGCCGGCTCATCGGGGGACTTAGCCCCTTAGCCGCGCAACGCTCGCTCGCCGCTACGTCGTCGCGCGCTGGTGTGCAATAAACAAAAAGCGCGCGTTCATCTCGGCGCCGCGTTGGAATAAATAAATCCAAAAGTTCCCCCCATTGATCACTCCCGAGTATTCCCGATCGATGGCGGCCTCGTAGAAAAGTGCAAAGGAATAAATAAGAAATAATAAAGCCGCCAGTGCCTCTGCCTGACAAACGAGCGCCCGTGCTGCGGTGTGGAAAGCTGCCAGAGACTTTTTTGGGGGTTTTTGAACATGCGTGTCAATGTTTGTGTCGTGAGCTTGGAGTTTCTGGAGAAATGTGCGTCTTTGTGCTTTAGTGTTGGAATGTGTTGCTGTTTTGCATGCTGTCCGCAAGGGGGCGCCAAAGATCAAAGTGGTTCCTTGAAGCTAGGCTGCTTAGCTTGCGTTGCTAGCAACAATGTTAGCTCATCAATTTTTTTGTCGGCACGATCAGCGGAAAACAATCCAGGTTTCCACTTCAAAGCCGACCAAAAGAGCCCAACACTTGTTTCAAAAATCTTCATTTAAAACCCCAAATCAAAGTGAAAACCTGAGTTGGACTGACCGACCAAGGCTTGAAACGATGACGCCCGTTCCAATTCAAAACTCGGTCGGAGAATTTGTTCCCAACGTTTGCCGTCGATCACTTCAAGCTCAAACACGAGAATAAACGAGAGCGCCCTGACAACGAACCCGAACTCAGACCGTGGGCGGGGCGTCCGATAAGCGAGAACAGCTGCGGGCCGCCCCCCCCAAACGGGTCCTCGGCTGCGATTGTCGCTGCTGCGATCGGGCGTCACTGACCGGCGCCTCCTCTTCTCTTCCTCCGGTCGTTCCCGCCCGGCGAAGGCCGTACCAGTGCGGCCACTGCTCGCTGTCCTTCTCGCAGCCGTCGGAGTTGCGCAACCACGTGGTGACGCACTCCAGCGACCGGCCCTTCAAGTGCGGCTACTGCGGACGCGCCTTTGCCGGCGCCACCACGCTCAACAACCACATTCGCACGCACACGGGCGAGAAGCCCTTCAAGTAAGTCGTCGGGAGGGTGCAGGGCGCCGTTTTGGGGCCGCTTCATCTCACTTTCTGCTCACGGGACGCCAAATTTGAGCGTTGTCTTGACTGCCAGACTGAACAAATGAAGGGGGTGGCGCGGGGGGGGCGTCACCCTCGTTTGAAATCCTACTTTGAGAACCTTCACCCTGATTTGAATTCTACTTTGAAACTCTCAGCCACATTTGCAACCCTAATTGAAAATCCGAACACCAGCAGTTTGAATCCCTATCGTGAAACCCCAAACCTAGTTTGAAACCTGAACTTGAAACCTTAACCCTAGTTGGTGGAAACCCTAATCCAACTTTGAAATCCCAAACCGAGTTTGAAAACCTTACTTGAAGCCCAAACCCCCGTTTGAACCCCTCAACCCTAATTTCAAACTCTAACCCCGGTTTGAAACGCAACCAAAATTGGAACCCTAACCGTGCTTTGAAACCCTAACTTGAAACCTTAACCCTATTTGGAAATACAACCCCTATTTCTTTGGAGCTTAATTGGAACCCTAGTGAAAACCCGAACCCTATCGTGAAACCCTCGTTTAAAACCCCGCCCCACCGCGTACTCCCTAATTTAAAAGCGAAAGCTTCCCCGAGGCGGATCCGCCGTTCATTCGTTGCGTCAGCCGGTTAACAACGGCTTCCGTACGCTCATCAGGCCAAATCGAACTTAGCGGCGTGCTAATGGCCGCCGTTCCGCCGCCGCTCGGATGCAATTAGCGAGGACGGCGCCGAGGTCACGCCGAGCGAGGCGCCATTGACGAGCGATCGCGGCGAGGTGTCAATCAACTTCAACGCGCGCGTGCCGGCGCGGCGCGTCCGTCGGCGGCCCCGCGAGAAGCGTCGCCGAGCCGACGCGTCTGCGACTTTGACGGCGACCGTTCGGAATGCCGTGCGAGAAATAAGATGCGGAAAAAGCCAAAAGTCAAGCTTGACAGTCGGTCACAACAGGACGGAAACAGAAGATCGAATTGATTTTCAGGATTAAATCCAACAGATATTTTTGATCAATGCCAGGATAAAAACGTTCAACACCGCAAATGAATCAAGAAGAAAAAAAAAATAAAAATGTCAAGTCAATGCCTGAAATAAACCCGCCATGTTTATTTGTTGATTGTATTCTCAAGAAGTCAAATGAATCCATGAAACAAAATGAAGTCAAGTGATTTTTTTTTTTTTAAATAAATGAAAGGTCAATCAAAGCGGGAGGGGAGGGGGGGGACCGGTCGCCGGCCAATCACAGGGCACACAAGCAACCAAAAGGCAATTTTAAGCGTTCCGTTAACCTCGTTTTGGGAGTGTGGGAGACAAGCCAGGCGGGCGCGGGGAGAATTCCAACAACAAAAATACAAAAATCCTTTTCAAATCGACGAAGCCCGAACTCGCCGCGCCGCCACCCATTTCATGACACTTTTATTTTTTTTTCCATCCTCAAATTTGGTTCCTGTTGGCGTCTACTCAAAACCTCGCCGCGTGCTGAGCATCTGACTTTTGGTTCACCGATCGATCGATCATGTCCGCGCACGTGCCAGCGCGCACGCACACGTCAGACTTAAAAGGCTCCCTCAATTGGGAGTGACACTTTGTGCGTGTGCGTGTGTGTGTGTGTGTGTGTGTGTGATGGGAATTCCCCTCAGCAGCTGGCTTGATAGATTATTGACGAGCACGCGGGGCGTGTGTGAAGATCACAGCAGCAATTTCAGCGGACTGCTCCGTTGACCTCGCGCGCGCACACTTTGTACTGTCAACGTCTATTACGCTTGACAACACACTGCTCGCGTACGCGCACGTGCGTGTGTGCGTGAATCCCTGAGTAACGGACGGGATGATGTCATGGCAAGACCGTCACCATCCGCTCACTCGTTTGCATCACAAAGCACAGAAGCGACAGAAGCACGTGCAACACACATATTGTCTAAGAACGGAAGAGTTGATTTAAAAAAAAAAAAAGGGGGGGGGGGGAGTGCAAGTCGGGGTGAGGACTCCACACGGCGAGCCGGCGTTTGGAACCAGGATGAAGAGGCCGTGTTCGGGCTTTCAACCTCCGGGTAGAGAATTTAGGGGCGTTCGAATTTGAGTGAGGGTCGCTCAGTGGCATTCCGAATCGGGTTTGGGTTCTCAGCAGGTCTTCGAGACAAGGTCGGGGATTTCAAACTGGATTTCAACATGGCTCTTGTTTTTTTTTTTTCTTCTCTCCGTTGTTCAGATGCGAGCGTTGCGAGCGCAGTTTCACTCAGGCCACCCAGCTGAGCCGTCACCAGAGATTACCCAACGAATGTAAACCCAACGGCGACGGATCGGTGGGCGGCGAGTCCATCGAGGTGGACTAGAACCCGACGCGAGCCGGCGGAAGCCGCCGTCCTCCCTCCGTCGCCGCTCCGCCGACGGCGACGTACCAAAGCTCTTCCAAAGCACGACCAAAGTTCTCCCCACCAAAGCGCTAACGGAGTTGGCCCAACTTCCTGCCACTGTTCTACTGATGTTCTACCAAAGCTCTCGCAAAGCACTACTGACGTTCAAAGTTCTTCCCGTGTCCTTCCTCAGTTGTAGCACCCAATTTTTACTCAAGTTCCATCCCAATTCTACCCGTGTTCTCCCAACACCCTTCTACTGAAACTTCTACTGGAGTTCTTCCAAAGTTGTACAAAATGTATTCCCCCCCCCCTTTTTTTAACGACTAATGTCTGCCTCAAGTCTACCCCAGTTCTTCCAAAACGGTGCCAGACTTTTACCAGTACCACCAAAGGTCTCCACTTTTTTTTTTCTACGCGATACCTAAGTGAGAGTGATGTTCTACCAAAGATGAGTAAAATTTCTCCCCGAATCCAATCATTGTCTGACCACATCCTACCCAAGTTGTGCTGAAGTTCCCCCAAAGCTTCTTCGGGTTCCACCAAAGGTCCATCAATGTTATCCTCAATCGTCAAGCCAGCTTTTGCCAAAGTTCCGCAAAATGGCCGGCAAAGTCGACTCGCCGGCGTGACCCCAAAGTGCTTCCAAGGTTGCATCAGAATAAGACCAAAGAGCGGCGTTCTGCAAAATATCCACCAACGTCCCCCCCCCCCCCATGTTCT